CAGGCACGCGGGCCAGTTGGAGACGCAGCCGCCCGGGCTGCTGCTCAGGTGCAGCGAGCCGCACATCTCGGCCGAAGCCCGCCGACAACGTGGCGGAGAGAGCGGAGGACGAGGCGCAGCGTGGAGATGCCCGTTGTTGAAATCTGCAGCAGAGAAAATGTGATCAGAGGTCGATCATGTGATATTATTGTAGCCAACAAACGCAGAGCAAACCCACCTGCGCTGAGCTCCAGGCTCATGGCGTCCAGCTCCTCGAGCGCGCTGCTCTGCACCAGCACACCTGCAGCACAGCACGATGAGAGCAAGCAAACACCGCGCACACGCCTAACACGTGAACATTTCTTACCATCAGCCCTTTTGGCTTTTTTCAGGTGGCCCGCCTCCAGGGCGGCTAGCTGCCTCTTTCTGCTGAGCGCGCCCAGACCACAGGGGGCGCCGCCTCCAGTCTGCACCATGTTCCCCTCGTTACGCTGCTGCAGGTGCTTCTGGGCGTTGGAGATGAAGCAGAAACAGTCGTGGAAGCCTTGAGCGTGGGCCAGGTCTGCTGCCGTCTGCCCGCTTGCATTCTCTAAACTAAACAACAAGAATGAAGTCAAAGTGCATCCTGGGTAACAGCACCTCAAACCATCAGAGCGCTAATGTTGCAGGGAGAAACCATCACGATCGAAGAAAACCAGTCCGAGTCTCGATGGTGTCACCCTGCAACACGTGCTGTGACTAACCTGCCCACTCACACACAGCAGGACGCGATCACAGCCACGTTTCCACTAAAGACTACAGTCTGTGTTTCAAACTGTTTATTTCCCGTCTATCAGAGATGTGAAAGCCGTGTGCATAAATGAAACGCCTCCCAAAACTGGATATAATACAATCTGGATATTATCAATAAAGGTTTTTTTTGTATTGTTAATTATAAAAGTAAAACTTTCATTTCATGCAAAATGAAACATTTCTGTTTGTTTTCATTCTGATGCTGGATCATAAAATCTGCACTCGAACATCTCAGATTATTAGAATATTTCATGTCGAGTTCAGACAGCGTCGAGGTCGTACATCGTCTGACTGCTGACGTCACGTTTGATAAGGATCCATAAGCAGCCACAGAAGGCTGCTCACAGCATGCCGTACTGGATACGGATATATATCCATGGAAGTGGACCGGAAGAGAAAAGCACGGCAGGAAAAGGTGCAGCAGACATGACCTCAGCCTCGAAATCAGTGTCAAGAAAAGTCTCAAGAACCTGGGAGAGCCTGACAGGAGTGGACTGAGGTCAGATCAAGCCTCCGCTGAACCAGAGCTAACATCAGAGCAGCGCATCTCAGGAGGAGGAGGTCCAGAGTCTTCTTTTCAAACTGAAATGAGCTGTGGGCCACTGCCATCTCACGTTAGTGTTGAAGTGGTACAGAAGAACAACAACAAACAAGAAAACATTTCCAATGCCATGTTGCATTATATTTCTTCACGTCAATAGTTTGAGACCTCTGCTCACATGTCACCTCCTGGTGCTGCTCCAAAGTCAACACAGACATCTACCAGCAGACGTTGGAGCTCTTCATGCTTCCATCTCTCATTAGCTTTGTGAAGACACTCACTTCTCGAGATCATGTATCGGAATTTTAGGAGCAGGACCACGCCTCCAAACGCTCCTTCTGGTTGTCATCTACAGAGGTTCCCCCAGTTCTGCAAACTGATCATTCTCCTTTATGTGCCCTCCCTCCCTCCTTGTTCTCAAATCTTTAACTTCTTCACTCCTATTTAGTCCATGAG